TTTATACTTCAAATACATTACACCTTACTTGTTTTCAGATCTCTAGATATTGAGATCTAATTAATTTTAGAAACTATAATGATAAATTCTTTGTTCACCAAGAAGAGAGACCCCAGAATTTCTGTATAGCATTTCAAACCCTTGCAAAAATTAAAAATTTAATTCGAATTTGAGCTTATTCTACTTCACTTGTAAAAAGAAGTGTGGATAATTCGAATTTGAAAAGAGAGATGTAGCTGACTTTATGAGGACTCAACTTAATCAACATTTTGTTTTTGGTCAAAAAGAGATTGCCCTTTAAAACCTCATTTGGAACTGTTGAGATTATTGGTTGGGCCATTGAATGTTGGCCTTTTGAAAGATACTTGATATCAACTTTGGAAAAATGGTACCTGGATGTATTAAGATTTCATCGCAGAAATTACAAGGGACTACGTTTGCCAAGGACATTTACCATGGTTTGTGTTTTATAAAATAGCAATGCAACAGTACAGCTTTAAGGGGGTAACTACACAACTTAGTTACAGTTAATTCTTACATTGAATCGTTGAGGTTGGTCTCCTTGTAGAGTGCTGAGACATCCACCTTGGCATGAGAGATGTGGCTGGATGTGCAGACAGTGACGGCTGGGGAGGGAATGGACCAGCTAGATGTGGCTCGGGTCTCCACAGACATAACAACAGGGGTGGTATAGAAGTCTGAACTGACCAGAGCGACAAAGTACCAGCAACTGGAGTACGTCACTACCATGGCCAGGCCCCAGAACAATCTGGCAAATTGATTAATCCAGATATTTACAATTTTAGAGAGAAAATAGTTTTCAATGACACTAACAAACAATTTAGCCCGTTAGGGTAGTAGCATAGAATAGAGGTAGACGTAGATATATACCTACACCTTCACTTCTATCTTCACCTCTTCCCTAATTCCGTTTTTACCTCCACCTCTATATCTACCACCGTCTTCACCTCTCCTCCACCTTCACTACCTCCTCCACTTCTTCCCTAACTCCGTCTTTATTGACCTCCGCATTCACCCCTCCTCCGTTTTCACTACCTTCTCCACTACTCCCCTAACTCTGTCTTAACCTCCACCTCTATATCTTCCTGCCCCTTCACCAAATTCCCGCTTTCACTACCTCCTCCGCTTCTCCACTAACTCTGTCATTACCTCCACCTCCACCTCCTATATCTACCTATATATACATCCGCCTTCACTACCTCCTTAATATCTCACCTTACTTCATCTTTACCTCCTCCTTTACCTGCTCGATCTCTACCTCCGTCTTCATTACCTCATCCACTCCTCTAAGCTCTTTAGCTTCACCTCTACCTCTATCTATAACTCCATCTCCTCCTCCGCCTTCTCCTCTCTTCCATCTTCCCCCTCCACCTTCTCCTCTACCTCTTCTTCCTCTCGCTACCTCTCCTCTCTCTACCTCAGTCTTTACCACCTCCTTCAACACTTTCTCTACCTCTCAACCGCCACCATTTTTCTCATCCCCCTACCTTTTCACTATCTAAACAATTACCCTAAGGGCCTATTTGACCATTCATTGTCACCAGTAACACATCAGTTGAAAATTCATGCAGGGTACCTCACCTCTCCAGTAAGCTCCTGTTCCGCTCGGCCAGGTACCGGACTCCGTGTAGGGTTGTCATCTCGGAAAACTGCCTCACGTAGTCCGGACCCTTCTCCTTCAGCAGCTCCCACCAGAGCTGTCGGCGACTGCCCATCTATATTTCAAATAGATACAATAGAAATACATAAAATACAAATAGAGTTATATGTCCACAACTTAGAACCAAAAGGTTTTTGATTATTTGTACATGCAATTGCCTAAGAAAGCCAAAACAAGTCTTATAAATTTGTCCTGTTCTTGGATCTGTAGGTGACGAAACAAAATGACAATTTATATTTTTCACTAGGGTAAAACTAGAGCACTGATGAAGATAAATATTGTTTTCTGTATTCGGTATTTTCTAGAATGTCTTCTGAGATTTAACCGGGGCCTAACTTTTTTATTCGCAAATAAAACTACTAGTTCAAACCCCCAGTTTTGCGCTACATTACAGGTGACACATTTTCTCCTAACTTTGGAGATTTAAGAATGCTTAAACAACTAATATTTTGTGATAGATTATATGTATACCTCTAGAAGGGGTAATGTGCATAAAAGATTGAGATAACATTACAGATATCAGGAAAAATATCAAATAAATATACATCGTTTTATGCATAAAAAACTTCCATGTATACAGAACTACTATGTTTACAAAATTAAGTTTTAATAATCATATCCTCCGAGTGTGTTAGTTCTAAGCCTTAGAAAACTTACAACTCCAAAAGCTAAAACAGCCTAATGTTATTTATGCTTCTCTTAGCATAAGAGGTTGTTGCAACACAGAAAATTGAACTGATTTTCATAATCCCTCTCAAATCTCAAAGAGTCGTAACAGTAAATTCGTTAATATCTGGACCGTTGTGCTTAATTAATCTAAACACTGATATACCCTTTTTATTGTAATCCTCTTCATGTTGAAACACTAACCACGATTACTCTCAACCACAATGTGTATAAGAACGTTTAAGCATTGATTATGTACAATTTGTAGTCAATGGTCCAGGCCTTATTATTTTCGAATGACGTCTGCATGTTTTTCAAGAGCCCTTCAGTTACTTCACGTGTTTCTAATTCTATGCAAATATTTATTTTCACTCAGTTGAAAGACTTGTTTGTGTGATTTGACGTTTAACATCATTGTAAACATTTTGAGATGTATGCTAGGTTAAAAAGGTAAACAAAAAAGGTTTGATCAAATAATAAAGACGAAATAAAATTGTCAATTTATAGGAACAATAACTATTTCTAGTCTATTCTCTAAGAAAGTTGTTTCAATTATATTAATATATAGAATTTTGAAAAGGAACTTAAGATTGTTTTACTACTAAAAGTGCGAATCGTTGGTTGAAATATTTTGTAACTGCATTACCTGATATTAATGATTCAAATTTATTAGAAATATTGAGTACTAACAAATAGGGTAATAGGGTAACTAAGAATCCATACACCAACAAAGACAACTTTTTTAAACTTAAATGTGCTTAAATAGGATATAAATAGGTTAAATGTGTAGTTAGAAATAGGACATTTTTTAAGGTTATCCTATTCGTTGTATTAATACTCAACTTTTAATTTTATTAGAACTAACAATGAAGTAACGATTTGAGTCAATGAAAGTGCAAAGGCTATAACTCCATAAATAGTACCGCCTCAGCTGTAGTAACAATGTATTGATGAAAACAATGCAACAATACAAGCAGCTGATTTTAATGCTGATTTTACAGCTGATTTTAATGCTAATTTACAGCTGATTTGGTAATGATTAATCAAAACACGGTTTACATTACATAATAAATTGTAAATATAGTAAAGGGTGGTTCATAATAACCACTAACATTTTGTTTTATGACAGCTCAGCTAATTCATGGGCTAGAGCAAGAGAGATGCTTTTTTCGTTGAATGGTTTCTTAATTAATAGTACGAGAGGTCGTCCAGTGGTCGAAACTCGACCAAAAATATGTAATGTACTCACTTATCTATTTTCACCCCACACTGTAAATAAAACATGTGATTGGAGTTTCCTCCATTTGTTTTGATTTTCTGTTTATATTTCGTTGTTATTTCGTAACCAGCATAGCAACGCATAAGATCCATGTTAATTTTTTCAAATTTTTAAACTCATTTTTTGTGCTTATCTTTGAGCCTATTTAAATTTATAAAGGGATTCTGCACACCTACAGGAAAATAGCTTTCCAACGGTATGCGTAGATTTTCCCTTCGATGCACACGAGCTGAGAAAAAAGGTTTTAAAGAAACATGCTTGCCTATTAATATATAGATAGATTTTTTTAATTATAAGTTGTTCAAACTATTAAACTTTTCTGATGGATGTGGCATGAAAAATAAATGTGTGAAATCAATGCAATCTTTGTTTTCCGGGTGTGAAGTAATAAACAAAACAACGCTGTGTAAAATAACAATTAGTTTATTAAAACTCAAAGAAATATGAGCAAAACGCAAATTCTTGAATTTATTTGAGTCTAAATAAACTGTAATTGTTATTTTACACAGCGTTGTTTTATTTATTACTTCACGCCCGCAAAACCATTAAACAACACCTCATTTATTTGTTATGCAACCACCATTAGAAAATCTGAATAGTTTCAACAACTTATAATTTAAAACAAATTCTATTAATGAACCACTAAACGAAAACAAAAACCCATGAATTAGCTGAGCTACAAAACAAAATGTTAGCGGTCATTATGAACCCGTTATATTACGTTACTAGTCCGGTAAACACATTTTGGGCGAGTTACGTACGATATTTTCGCCATAGGCTACCACTCTAAACTATGCGAACAATATATGAAAACTGTACAAATCCGTTATATATTCCCAACTACTAAAGGACAATTACTACACATAACTTCTAAGAGAGGATATTTTTGTTTATTGATTATAGGTAAAATCACAAATGTTACCGTACAATAACTATTTAACCGTAATTTTTGCAGCAATTGGGGTTTTACCTTTTTGTCCAGACTTAAAAGGACTATAAAATACTTAATCATGATCACAGTAGTTTGAGCCATTTTTGATTTGACTTTACCGTTATTCTATGGGGAAATCACCATTAAAAATCGAGATTTCGAAAAAAAACAAAAAAAACTGGAGGTACCATAAATAAGTACCCAAATATAAAATTTCAGCAAAATGGGATCACAGGTGTGGTATGTAGCTCTGTACACATACATAAACCCATACAGATACTTGAAAAATGCTCTTTTGGCTTCAGGGGACCCCAAAACTGATATCCACCGAAAACTCAAACTCGAAAATGTTTACGAAAACATTACTTCCTCCATATAGGGGGGAAAGTACAAAATCAATTCGTGATATTTTGTTAGTCAACCAAGCATCATTGATAGAATACGAACCGCGTATGGTAACAGAGAAAGATAACAGCTATCAGGGCAAACGTTGGAATGATTTTATCAGTCAACACGGTGGCTACAAGCAAAATGTAAGTATAACACCTTCCTGCCTACCCTGCAATATGTTCAATAATGCAGTTTGGTCTTTACTTCGTAATTTATTATTGAATTGTATAGTCAATGATTGCACATTGCGGATTAAAAACCTTCGCTGGTTCCTAAAATCGCATTTGATCGATGTATCGATGATTTTGTCAATGGTTGGTACTTTTGCGTTTTTTTATTGTAGAAAAATGTTTAATGTACTTTTAGATGTTTAAAAGGAATATTTCTCTAGAGTGCAAAAACTGTGTATTTTATAATATTAGGTCTTGCATAAATGATTTTTAAAATCGTAGTTATAACTAAAATCCAACTTATTTACATGCAGTGCACCTTTTTTGTGATAGATTATTTTGATTAAGCAACAATTCAATATGTGCTTAAAACAAATGAGTACACGCATATTCTTTCCAAATAATAATTATTGAATAAAAAATTAACTGTATTAGGCCTAATTACTGTATAGTTTTACTGTAGGTAGTTTGTGAGATGGTAAATCAATTAATGTAAAAAATTGGAAAAAATAAAATTTACGAAAAGACTTTTTTTAACTGCACCATTGAGACAATAGAAACATAAACTCAATCGACGCCATTTTACATATTGAGCGTATTTCACTAAGTGGGGTACTGTATGTTAAGATTCTAGTTTGGGGGAATGAGGACAATTACGTTAACATAGTATTATTATATACTTTATTACTTTAATATTTGATTTTTTAATTACTATCGTTTGCTATGATTTACAAATAGATTAATTCTAGCCAGAGAAAAGTAGGCTGCAGTAGAATTGCCACGTGTTTAATCGTCATGATTCGATTATGTAACTTCCTTGTACATCGATGACGTATGCAAGAAACGTAGTGATATAAAACATATGTTTGTAGATAACTTTGCACCTTAGTTGTTGGAAACTTAGGTTTTGCGAGTTATGTTAAAACGGTTTTATGAATGTGACACTGGCTTCAGAGTGTAGATTCGACTCAAAAAATATTTACAAAAATATTTCATTAAAAATATTGTATTAAAAATATCCCAATTATTGAATTAATTGTGGTATTGACTATACACTGAGTATCTCATCGTCCAATGTAAAAATTTGAAGCCAAGAAAATGTATGAAGTTCAGGACCATCTTATAATTGAGTTGAGTCCTAAACTCTAAAACAAGCGCGTGTACAGACAAATTTTTATTTTTCGTCAGAGTAATTTTTATTTTTTGTTTATCATGGGTATTTGGCCACGAGAAATCGATTGGACTTGGTCACAAGGCTGGAAAATCCAGTTTCCGCCCTACAGCCCTTTAAAGTCCCCATGTTATCGTCAATACGCTTTTGTAGCTGCCGTAAAAACAGCTGATGCAGGTTTTTTAATGCAATCTATGTGTTTATAAAGGTGTATTAAAATGTGTTCTTTGTATAATCTAATATGTGTTCATATTGATTACAGTACATAAAAAAATATTTAATTTAGCTAATCGACTTATATATTTAATGTTTAACTCAATCCGAGCAAAGCTTAGTCTCCTGGTACTATTAATTCAAATACATGCAGTATCGTAGCTAACAGCTGATTGATTTACCACTTGAGACAGAGATATGCCATTAGTTCGTATACCATCCCAACAGATTGCGCCACGTTTTTATTTGCTTCAAATTTGTACATTGGATGGGACGTTTTTTCTATAGTGATCGTAGTGACATAACTTGAAATAGTTTATACACATTTTGGTGATAAGCCTTTTACACTTTTACTAATAATAAAAAATAATGGAAAACATTGAACTATTAGAATATTCTGCAACTACTTTTTTGTCTCGTCTATTGTCAAAGTATAAAAACCCAAAACTAAAAATAGAATTTGGTCAATTGCACACTATAGTGTTAAACTAACGTGGTTATTAAATCAAGTTCTATAAAATTAAAATAAATTTTACAGCTGAATTGGATGGGATTTTTACTTTGGTATTGTTAATGGTAATTGTAGCTGTGTTCCTATAGTTATTTTACGTTTTTTCAGGCTTGCAGGTGTGATTCTGCTGCTATGCGTGGCGGCGAGCTCCGCCTTCCACGCAGCTGTCAGAGATTCAAAGGTATGAGCTGTTTCCGTCAATTGCCGTTGAGACACACACATATATATATATATATATATATATATATTATCAATTTCTTGTACAACAATATTAACTATGTTCATATGCAGAAAATGATTAAATATTTTCGATTATCTAACTTGTCGGCAAAATTATATTTCGGTAGCATGGTGATCAACAACATTGTTTTCTTGTGGATATTTAATTTATAATGTCGGTCAACTGGCTTGTCGACAAAATGGCATGTTGTTGGAATCGTGCTTCATTTCAATTTTTTTCAGATGGGTTACCCTTATAATGCTGTGATGTTCTCAGGGTTCATGTGTTTTTGTTGTTGTATTGTATTATTATTATGTTTCATGTTTTCAAAGTAATATTTTTGATTGTATAACTATTTCAGATGAGTTATTTCTAAGATTTGAATGTTTTCTGGTCTGGTTTAATATTTGGTTGTTGTTGTTCGTGTTGTTGTTGTTGTTGTTGTTGTTGTTGTTGTTGTTGCTGTTGTTGTGTTGTATTTTATCTTCATTACTGCATATGTTTTTTCAGACTGTCAAGGTGACAGTGTTCTACGAAGCGATGGATCCCGTTTTCAAGGATTTCATCAACAACCAGTTCTCACCTCACTGGGAACAGATTGAAGAAGGTATCGAGATTGAGCTCGTCCCCTTCGGAAAAACTAACGTGAGTTGTAGAGTATTCATTAAAATAAATGAATAGATAATTTGGTGTCTTCAGCCAGCCGTCAAGAATTGCCCAAATTGAGCCATTCAATTTACTTGTGTCAATTATCTTAAAATTGTATCTAAATCAACAAAAAAACTCGCTTTGATGAATGCAGCATTTCCACAAACTCAATTTCTGAAATGCTCAATGGTTTTACATGTATAAAATATCATCCAAAGTCCAATCCAATTGTTTTGTCTGCGCTTTGTTCCGAACAGCTGATTGGCTTATCACGTCATAAACTGAGAAATATGTAAATTCTGTAACAGGTATCAGTGGAGCAAGAGCCAGAACCTCATCTGGAGTTCGTCTGCACTCGAGGAGAAGAAGAATGCATCGCCAACAAACTGCACGCCTGTGTGATCAAGAAGATGCACGCGCACAAGCTGAAAATGGTCAAGGTGATCAAGTGTCTGATCAACAAGAAAGATCAAATGGACGGACTACCAGACGTAAGTCGTGTAACACTTTTGTTAAGAATTGAAGTCTTTTGTGGGCCTAAATCAAGTATTAATGAATTGGACTAGGAAAATTGTAAGGTGGAATAAATGTAGGCTACTTTACACGTTACGCAAGAGCGTGTTTACATCACTTAGGTGAATTATCAACTCCCTTCCGCTCGTTGCACAACATTCGCCTGCGTGATGTAAAAACGCTCTTACTACGATTGTAACGTAAATAGCTATTACGCCTAGGATCTTTTGAGAATTTTGTGAATGTTTCAATTTTTAGGTTTAAACACCCAAGTTGTATCGTACATTAGTGATTTATCAAGACATCTCTCTTAAAATTTGTTCAATATCGAAATAGTTACTAATTTTTTGACTTCCAGTTGGGATTCTACATTTTATCATTTAGTTGATTTTATTATTAATTATTTATTTACTTAATAACTAACTTACTTCCTTACTTACCCACTTACCTATTTACTTACTAACTTATTTATACAAAAAAATTATTTATTTATTATATTTTTTTATTTTTTTATTTATTTATTCATTTATTTGTTTATTTATTTATTTATATATTGTTATTTATTCATTCACAACGGATAGCTCCAATTACAATGATGCATATATTGGTATTACATATCACCTTTTTAATCGATTGTTGATTGTTCAGTGCCTGGACGAGATCCACATCAGGCCAGACGCTCACAAGTTCATTGATTGCGTCAACTCCCCAGACACCGATTATTTGGTCGTCAACCACGGAATCAGAACACAGAAGATGTTCCCCAAGAAGCTTGATTCCCTACCTAAGATAGTGTTTAATGATGTAAGTACGAAACCTCAAGGAAAAATTTAACAGTTCTTCACTTTTAGATAACAAAAAAGTTATTAATACTTAGAATAATATTTTTTGTTCATGTTGAGTTCATAATTGTGTGAATCGGTGGAGCTCGACCGAAATAACCCTTTGAACAAGTTCACAATGCTAAAAACAATGAAAAATGAGCTTGATGATCAAGGACACCAACTCAGGCTAGAGTTACTGGCAAACTAAGCATTACTTAAAATTTATTTAGAATTCGTGCAATTTTGAGTCATCTCCTACCCCAGAAGAAGTGCTTACTTGGATTAGTGGAATGATTCGTCATTGTAACGAAGATTTTCTAAAAACTGATTTACTACATTTTTTATCTATTTCCATATGACACAGCACAATAAGCCAAATATATTATAGATTAAATAATGTTTAAATTAAATTATATTTAAATAGAGTTTAGAGAGTACCATACGCTCAATATATATTTTGCACTAAGATAAGGCTTTAAAGTGAGTCGGTGGCTCAGTCGGTAGCGTCGCGGACTTCGGGCCCAAGGCAGCGATGTCGTGGGTTCGGATCCTGGTCACTGCCGATAACATTTTATTAGTACAATTCACCTTTGTACTGTACCGGCTCACTCCTTGCTTTGCTACAAACGATCCACGCACGGGCGCTTAGTCTATGTGGACGGGCAAACGCAAGGTTAAAAGAGGCCGCCAACCTCTTAAAAAAAAATAATAATAATGGTGATCGTTCTTGAAACAATCACCCAACCAAAAAGAAATTTGTTTGTGAGAAAAAAACGAAAAATGGGGTTTACTCAGGTTAAAATAATTCACAGTTCCACTCACTGGCCACAGTGCAGCCACAGACATTTGAGTTTTACCGTTGACTGTAGGTTTTACTGTACAGGTTATGTTTGATAGCTGGTTTCTTAAAACCAGCTTTCAATGGTCTTAATAAGCCATAGATAGTTTTAATACGCTTAAAAACTTGTAGTCTATTAGTAACATCTTCATCGTATTGTTTTGTATTTCAGCTGTTCAATAAGAGAGACCATGCCCAAGCCTTGACAAATTTCAAAAAGTTAATCTGTCGAATTGTGTTCGATCTGTGCGAAGAGAAGTAATTCTTTGTTTACTTTTTAGATTATTCTAGGTTAGGAAGGACAGCAGGGCAAGAGTCGCTGAAGAGTTTGCAGGCGATTGGTCTTTCTCATTTTTTTATAGTTATTTTTGTTTTTTGCCATTTTGTAAACATGTGTCAGATAAGTTCAAAGGAATAATAGGCCTACTTAGAAAATAATTTCATGAGCTATGATAAAATTAGTCGTAGTTATGCCAGAGACCTACAATTGGGCCAGTTTTACCAACAGAACTTCTCAAAAGCATTAGGAGGATAAGAGTTCGCATGCAAATAGAAACTATAAAATCGAAAAATGTAAATTTGTATTAATTTTCTTTCAGACACCTAAAAAGAAAGATCGTGGCGAAGGCCTGAACGAGTTCTTAAAAACAGTCTGTGGATTTCAAATGGACTTGTGTGAAGAAAAGTAATTATTTTCCACCCTTATTATCGGAAAAAGTAATTTAGTTTGGAAAGTAGGGTGAGAGTTCTTTGAAAACACCGACGAAAATCCACCGTTTTCAAATAGCTAGTACTTTAGGTACGGTTTTTGCAGAACTAATAGGCTTGTGAATGAATAATGTGATTGTTTTGCGTAGAACAATGTGAAATAAAATTATCAAAGAGGCTTTACCTCATCCAAATATTTAATTTATGTGGGTCAGATTAAAATAATTAATATTGTTGTACATCCTGAGGTTTGGTTGCAGAATCTTGATTGTCAACGTGTCGTAGCCTAGGTAAAAATAACACAAACACGTCTTTACATGTTTCGACTAAGATTTTCAACATGCACGAATAATGAAAATCAATTAAGGGGATTTTACAGAATACATAACTGAATTAATTTCAAATCAAAAGTCAAAACTGGTTAGGTAAAACCAGTACCATACAACAATGAAAATATTCTTCCGGGAACTCGAGAAAGCATTGCCTACATTGTTAACTTAAACACGTTTTTAGCATAGACCGAAGGTTTAGAAAGAGATTAATCAAACCAAGCTGAAATAAATATAGAATATGTGTCGAATCTATACAATTTAGAAAAGCATAAAACATTTTTTACTGGAAGTAACCTATATTTTGCAGGCAATAAAATTCTTATCTTTGTTGTATTTTATAAATGTTATGAATTTATACAGAAATGTTTGACTCTCACGCGGGAACAGACTTGATAATTGTCTCTTTGCGAATGTTTGTAGTATGATCACAAAACTGATAAAGTCCACACATCCTATGTCAGAGAAAAAATGTTCTTAAAGAAGTATTATAATTTTGAAATACGACTTTTTCATGTTCGTGCGGTCTTTTGGTCAACAAATTTTTGTCAGTTATGAACTAATTAATATTTTTGTAAATGATCGAACAATTTAAGTCAGTGAAATTTAAATAGATAATCTTGATGTTCACTTATTTCATAATATTAATAGGTACATGAATTTCTGGGACGTATCTCAAACTTCAGTATTTTCGCAAAATCAAAACACGGTTATTTCCCGATGACCAAAACTCGACTGTAATGCAATATTTCCTGTCTTTTGTACAGATTGAGGCTACGATCAAATATAACTTGCGCAAGTCATAAAGTAAAAATCAAATTGACCTGCAAACTCTTTTTTATTGGAAGATAAAAATCCGTATTCCCTAAACATTTTATAAATGCGTTTTCAGTCATTTATCTCAATTTTTCGATAAAATATGTGTTTTTTTTATTTTCATGCGAACTCTTATCCTGCTTTCCATAACACATAAGTTAAGCCTATTAAGGTAGCTAGTTCATTTAGTTTCTAAGAAATGTAGTTCAAATTGAATTGTTCTTCACTATATAGGATAATTAATTGACATTCACAACTAGCAAAACAGAATATTATGTGTCCATACAAATATTTGTTTAATCACTCATATTGCTTTATAGTTATTCTCTACTAATATAAACAGAACAAATAGAAAACCGTAAATAAATTTCTTAGTGTTGAAAAAACCTGTGATTTTAAATTTAACTAAAAGGTTTTATATTAATATTGAAGCCAACAACACTACGTCTGCCTGTGGGTCAAAAACGCACAAGTATTTCTTTTTTGTTCTTATTTCACGGGAAAACGAGTAGTTTATGAAATAACATTTTATGTAATAGTTGTTTATGAAACTATTTCAATTTTCTCTGTTTGGAATTTAATTATTTATTTATTTTATTATTAAAATAATTAATTTATTTTATTATTTTTTAATTAATTTATTTGATTATTTTTTAATTTATTTATTTTATATTTTTTTATTTATTTATTTTATTATTTTTAATTAATTAATTTATTAATTTTTTTTATTTTTTTTATTTATTTATTTATACTGAAAATACCATTAAACAATAACGCATCAAAGCAAGATGATTTACACAAAAATAAATACAAGATTTGTCTAGTATAATTAAGTCTATAAATAAGTCTATAATAATATAGTATCAATTATTGTCAACGCTAGTAAGCTAGTATATAGGTTATTTTCTAAGCCGTTTCATACAAATCATTATGCCACCTAAATATGTGTTAGTTCTCTAATATTTTCTATATTTTTACAGAAATATAAGAAGAGAGATCACGCTGCAGCTGTAAGCAAATTCACGTTGACCGTTTGTCACTACATTCAAGAGTTGTGTAGGAAGAAAATTAAAGTATTGCTGAACTAATCAAATTTCATTTCACAACCAATCTTTGAGAAGTCCATCATAGTATTTAACTCACCAAAATGTAGATTTACGTCTGGACGTTGTGGAGGAAAATAAAAAGCTAAAAAACTTAAATGTTGTATTTTTTTATTGTTTGTAAAAAATAATATAACAATTTATCCTCTGCAGAAATTAAAGATGTTACATATTAAATTAATGAAATTCACAAATAATTGTCTTGTATGTAGCTATTTTATAATTGCTAAAAAATAAAATTAAGGCACAAAAATTACTTTATTTTCCAAAAATATAATTTGTTATGCTAATCAATAATATTGTTTTTATTACATCAAGTGGTAGCATTGACTAAATATTCAAAGGTATTAGTTAAGAAGTAAAATAAAACAAATCACATACTTTTAGCATAAAATATTTAGATAGCTACATTATTTACTTATCGGTATCCATACAATATCATGTAATATCTAATTTTCATGCATTTACACACCTAATATTTTGATTGAGTACTTTTCCATTGTTATGGCTTATTAGTGGGGGGAGATCTCCAAAACTGAAAAATTTCTTCTCTTTTGAGAGAACTCCGCTTTTTCTGTTTGGTTGATAAATGAATCGAAAGATTAAGATGAGCTGCGGACTAGAAAATCCACACAATCGATTTATCAATATACCGATATATCGATATATCAATGCATCGATGTAGTTATACGTATATGGATGGTCCACATATCAAATGAAAACAAATAAAAGCATTATAAATTAAATACAATTATAACCTAAAACTTCTGCGTTCAAAGTCTGCATTATTGAATGGTACGTCTAGTTCACATAAATGGAAAGTCCACTTGTATCCACACTCAATGGTAGGCATATATTTGGTTCACATTAATGGAATAGCTATTTTGATTATTTAAAGTCAATGGTGCATCAGCCTTATTCCGCTGACCATAATTATTGGTTATCCATTTTGTAGTAAATTATGCTCAATGGTATTAATCCGATTGGTCTTCCCTTTTTCTCTGTACGGTATTTTTAATGTGCTATTGAGATGATTCGTTGACTAATATATGGTGTGACTCCTGTTTACCTTTTTATTGTTGTCTCGCAAAAAATCTCATGGCAACCAATTAACCCATAAGGCCCATGTTAAGTTTGTAAAATTTTCAATTCACTTAGGGAAAAGCCCTGTGGTCCCATTTGTACCGTTTCAGATTTATACCTTCCCATGGTTGGTTACTATGATTGTGCTAAATTTGGTGCATGTCGCTTTAGTCGTTCAGAAGGAGGAGGGGATTTGTAAAACAAAAGCAGGAGTGTAGTGTAAGAGCTTCGCTCAATTAATACTACTTCGCTGAATTGGTATTAAAAATTCACAAGTTGATCGGACGAAAACAATAGCTCTAGTAATGTAAACAATTAGAAATTACACAGAAAGCTAATGACAATCGCATGAAGCCTTAATATTGTAATTACCTCAACAGTTGACGTGTCATGCAACCATAACGCCCATTCTCAGTAAGTCAGTGGCTTTAACGCAACATGGTGAGTTACTTGTGGACTTTCACCTTTTACGTGTTAGGTTTAGGTCTTAGGTAAACACAGTTTTTCTGTTTAGGACTGATTAAGGAAATTATATAAAAATTGTAAGTCTGTGTTTATTAATAACTGTATAGTGTATTTATCACAGTGGAAGATGGTATTTATTTAATATCACGGTTACAGCTGTAATATTACATGTCTTGGTACAATGTCCTGTAAAATGAAGTTAACAGCTGGCAGATGCAATAGTTAAGGTATGGAAGTTACATTTCCATTGTTGAAAGGTACAGCTGACGAATTCACCTAACACTTGCCACATCACTGTGTTACACGGGTGGCGTCGTCCTGTAATCCAGCTACTGGGAGGTCACGAATTGTGGATATTTATAGGGATGCACTGTGGATACGATGCTCCCTGGTGTGGATTAACGTCCGCACTAGTGAGTACTACGACTATCCGCAGTATTATCCTGATAATTAGACCAATTCGTAAATTACAAGGAAAAATGTGGTTCGGATTCCACTATAAACTGTAGGTCCCTTAGTTGCCATTAGCTGTATGGGCTATTAATTAACAGCTGTGTCTAAGGAACATGTCGGCCTTAGTCACTAACAAGACTACAAGATCGCGCCACTCATCCTACACTCATCCTTCACTCATATTTGGGTTAAAATACGCACATAGTGGCGTCCCCATCTTAAATAATTGAATTGAATTGAATCAATTTTTATTGTTTTCGGACTAATTTTGAAAAGTAATACTATATTTAAGACTATTATTATATTGCAATTATCTTACAATGATTAACCTAAGTAAATTTGATTATTGTTGTTTTTTTATAGGTAAAAGACAGATATGGAGAATTGACATAAATATATATTGTAACATAAAATAAAGTATGACATTTCTGTGGGGTTGTGGAATACTAACGTATATAACATTGAACAAAAATTGATAAAATAATACATATTAACAAGGAACATTTTAAAACACTGTTAACACATTATTAGTGGGTTAAAAAAACATTATAGGAGAAAACACACAAAAATAATAGAGAAATTAATATTAATGATGATGATGAATGAATGACATGTAATATTACACAGTGTGTCCTGGAAAATTGTCCTTAAAGTTTTACACTTTCATGTAAAAGTAAACGTCATTACTAAACTGACACATACTTACTCCGATTAGCGTGTCAACAACCCTTATCATGGGTAAGCGGTGGGAGTAACTATGATATTTTATGGGAGAGATCATAAAAGTTGCTTTTGAACCGTAATTTTAACAGCAATGTGAGTTTTACAATTTTTTTTAGACTCAAAAGGACTATTACATACAGAGTGTTTTAAACGCAACCCACATTACAAGTACAAGACACTTTTTACCAACAAAACAAGCTCATATGTCCCCTGTTTCCTTACTGCATCCCTGTTTTCTTTAGCTCTTTGCCAATAAGCTAATATGCATAATTGCATTGTTATCTATATTGGGAAATTATCGATGTTAGGAATTTATTGTGAACAAGACTCAACATGTTGTTTTCACAAGCTCTAATAATTTTAGGTCTACATTTGTTTTTTTTTTAACGCTCCGTTACCATAAATTTTATTGAGTCAATAAATTAATAGTTTATTCATTATATACTGAAATCGCAGTCAGAAACTTAATTTCAAACCTTCCTTGACCAAAAACTATTTACTTTTAAAGTTTTTTTTCTGTTCGGAACGATTTTCTCCGTCAAAATTAGTAGACGAATGTTAAAGCTAAAAATATTAAGCACTTTTTTTTCTCTCTGGCTATTTTCAATACTTGCGTTGCAAAATAACCGTAGCTTAGAGTAAATAAAAATTAATATAAATACCCGTAGCTAAATGCACAGAAAATTCTACCTAGGGTGAAAAAATCGGCTGAAATTGAGAACAGGGGTGGTACACTTTTTTGTGAAGTTTTTCATCTGTTTTCCGAAGAAAAAAGTCCCATTTTAACCAATATACTTCATCTAATCATTACAATTGTTCTTGTATATCATTATTTTAACATAATATTTCAATATTTCACTTCAAAAACACCTCCATATCGACATTTAGATTAATTGAAATGTAACAGAATTCCATCGATAAACTATGAATTTATTATTGTGTTTGAAGAGTAATACATCTGACTATTCATACAACTAATGGTATTGAATATTGACAAGTAGAACACATCACATCTAAATACCAATAACTGCTATTCGTGTATAGTATTAGGTATTACCAAACAATAATGAAACCTTTTTTGAAGATCATTTATAAAGGTTAATGCATGAAATGTACGTTTAGGGAATTATGGCGCAGTGCGGTGAAAAATCATGTTCGTCACATGGACACAAAGTAAGTATCTTTTCGATCTTAGCACAACTAAAATTTTACATTTGAGTGACGAGTTATACTCTTAAATAATACTAGGTCGTCCAGTGGTCGAAAACTCGACCAAAAATATGCAATTTACAGACTCCTCTATTTGTTTCACCACTGTAAATAAAACGTCTGATTGGAATTCCTTCCACTTGTTTTCATTTTCTGTTTGTATTTCGTTGTTATTTCGTCACTATTGGCAACCCATTAGACCCTTGTTGGTTTGTTTTAAATTTGTTTTTTTGTTTATTTTTTAGCCTATTAGCGAATTTCCCATTTATTTGTAAAGGGATTGTGCACATCTACAGGATAATATGATAGATAAAACATACTTGTCTCTCAAACAGTATACATACATTTTCCCAGCGATGCACACGAGCTGAGAAAAAAGTGTTTTAAAGAAAAATGCTTGTCTATAGGAATTTTCTAGATTTAAAAGTTTTCAAACGATTTTTAAAGGAATTAAATGATTAATTTGTAAATTGTACCTCGTTCTCTAATACTTTAATCAATGATTTCATCAAGAATAATTCATTTTCCCTGTGATAAATGATTAGTCAGATATAAAGTATTGGAAGTTATTGGGTGGGAAAAACGGGAATTGTCTTGTAGATACAACCTTGTTAAGCAATGACCTGTGTTGTTGACCTATCAGGAAAACGGTGGTTAACTTATAACAGATCTGTGATAAGCGGATAACACGAACAGTGAGTGAGTGATAAGCCAATTGAAAGACTCAGAGGACTTACGTTTTTTTCCATGAACTGAAACTGACAAACTAAAATAAGAGTTATCATGTAGCCTTGTTTAACCAGTTTCACGAATGTTAAAAACGAAGTCAACCATTGGCCCTGATGATGATTGGACATAGAATGCGCTATTGTCTAAAATTATATTTTCTACCTTATTTTTTGCTGATCAAGTTTATGAAGCTTGAAAGTTGTTATTGCTCGCAATAAAACGTGTTAGATAGACTTGGTAAAAGATTCTTGTATTCGACAGAAATCAATAATTTAGATCAGCACAATCTGTTGTTTTTGTGCAGGAAAAATTAGGGAATACGTGATAAAAAATTATTTAATTGATCATTTTTTATTATTTTCGTTTGTTAAAATAGGGAAATTGGCTAAATGCCTTTGTTATAAATATGGCTAAACTATTTTTTGAAATTAAATTGA